AAATTGCTTCAACTGGTATGGTCATTAGGCTGGGGTAAGCAAATATCAGATTCAGAAAAAGTTTTTATGAACAAAAATTTCTCGTTTTTTACCATTTTCCAACGCCGAGCAGGAGGGTAAAAGAGAATTATATTTCTGTTTTATAGTTTTGTTTCCATATTTTTATTTTGTTTTTTTAGAATATCCTACAATTTGCTGGGATGGCTGCAGAAGCGACAGTTCTTGATAAGAGTTTACTATACCGGCAATTGTAAGAACGCTAGAACAGATGCTTTTCGTAATATGGAGAGATTATCTATGTGGTGTTTAAAAGTTATAAAAGTAAATAGTTGTATAAAAAGATCGCAGGTTTGCATGATCTGCCGTTTTTTTCAGTTTCTATTAGCCTGTTGTAAGTTTTGTTCTGGGTAATTGAAACAGTTATAAATGGTCCAATCGCACTCATTACAAGCTCCGCATTTCTGTACGGCTTGCATTTGGCCATTTACTGTGGTTTCTTTAACCCTGGAGGTACATGCTTATTTGTATTTTGTATGTAAAGTACATGCTTCGTCGAATTGATGGCAGTCGTACGCATGATAGCTTTAAAGCCAATTTACTTACAATGAAGAGAAAAGTTCCGCCTCCGTAAAGAACAAAATGCGAACAAAACTCTAGAGAACGTTCTCAAGAAGAACAGAATGAGCACGAAACTTTCAGGAACATTTTCAATGAGATACAAATGAGAACGAAAGTATCGAGAACGCTTACAAGGAGGGTTAAATAAGAACTAAAGTCTGAGGAACGGTTTGCTGGAGAACAAAAGTTTTGAGAAGATAAACGGGCAGTTTACCCTGATAAAGATAAACGATCTGGAAATTTCCATGGAAATTTTTTTATTTTTTTCAAGAAAAGTTTGTGTCTTAAGTCTTTCGTTCGCTTAATTTGCTTAATTATTTTTAATATTTTTATTGAGCTTTGTACCACGATTGTTTATTAGGAAAAATTTAAAAAGCAACGAAGTCTAAGCGGTAGAAGTTATATCAGCTATTTCGGAGATCATATCCTCATCAGACTTCTTTTTTCTAGACTTCAGCAGGGATCGAACCTGCGTAATCGATGTTCAAAGTCAGAAGCGTTAACCACTGAGCTATGTACATCCCGTAAACTCTTGTTGCTAATTCATTGCTTAATTATCTTTCAGTTCTTTTTTGATTAATTTTGATATTCAAACATTTCAAACTAATGGAACGCTATGACAAAAATTCCTGTTTCGTTTTCTTTCAGAAAGTTCCTCGAGGGAAAGTTCCTTACACTTTTGTTCCCGTTTTGTTCTTTTCCAGAACGTTCCGTTGAGAACGTTCTTCACAGTTTTTTTCTCATTTTCGTTCTTAGGAATATACTCCGGACGGTTTTGTTCTCATTTTGTTTCCGTTTTTAAACGTTATTGGGAATAAAACTACGAGAACGACATTTAGTTTCGACCATACCTTTTGTTCTCAGGTGTCTGGTTTTTGGCTGTAAAATATATTTAAAAATTACATCATCATAGATCAGCTTTCGGTCAGTTTCGACAAATTGAAAATTGGCGTCGCCGATTCGACAAAGCATGTACATCCAGGGCTAAAGGAAAAACACAATTTTTTTGGAAGCTCCATTATTTTCAATAATTTTCTACTCCAACGAAAATCGTCTTTCATTCTCTTATCCTGTAAGTTTATTTACATATATATGTGACTGGAGCACACTATGCAATATCAAGACAATAGGATTCTTTCTTCCATACAATTCATCACCGACCATCGCTATACTCGTATTCTTCTGTTACAACAGAAATAATATGATTCCTTTTTCTGATGCTTCGAAAACATTCGCGGCACCGTATAACTCAGGTTGAGGAATTTTATTCCTTCCAAATTAAAGTCTCTCAATAATATGTTTAACTTAACCCTGCTAACTTTGTTTAATTTTGGGGTAACCATCAGTTATCCAGAACAATATATGTATACATAAATATGTGCATATTTATGTAAGTGCATAAATCAGTTGGTGCACGCCGACTTGCCCCAGTCTAATGCCCAATTCTAACATTTATGCATAGTTTCATGTGTATATGTATTTATTTATCCCTAACAATAACTATTTTTTGTACTTATACCAGTTTGTATATATGTAAACATTTGCATATTTTGTACTAATCATATCATGTTAAATGTCTGTTCATCGCCTACAAATCGCCTCTTAAAAAATATGTTAAATATGCATTCAATTAACAAACACAAAATGCAACCAACCAACCGAAGGGAACATCTGAGCTTGGTGTAAGTGAAAAATCTCATCTCACCTCAGTCATCGTTTTGTTTTGTTGTTGTAGTCTATTACCTCTGATTTGCTATCATTTCATTGTAGATTTTCACATTAAATAGCTAAACCGATATGTTACAGTTGTTTGTTTTATTTATTAACCTTTCTTTCTAATGTATTTACTTATGTAAAATATTGAGATTTCTTGTATCGAATTATCAGTAAATTTTGGAACAGAAAAATTTGTGTAATTTAACAAATGTCATGTGGAAACAGAGTTATGGCGAATTTAAACTAAGCATTGAAATGGCGAGCTTGTGAGTCTTTTGTGTTATCGGTTATTTTTTACATGGAAAAGAGCTTTTAAAGCTCAAAACGATTTTTTAAACTATTCTTATTTGTAGTGAGGATACTTGCCTTCCACGAAACCTCTGCATATTAGAAACTAACCGTTGTACATTTTTGTTGATTATTTTAACGAATTACTACAAAAACATAACTAAACCAAAAACAAAAAAAAAAAATATATAAAAATGTGTTCGAAGCTGTAAATCTTGAAAACAACCGAATCGATTAAGCCCAATTTCATAGTTTATATTATCAGTTCAGCCCTATGTGTTTTGCCGTAGAATAAAAGAAAATCTTGGTAGAAGACGTTGAACTTCAGATATTTCTAGAAATCATTTTTACACTCCCCCACATACCCAGAACATACACATATTCACATATCTATTTATGTATTACTTTTGCGAAAATATTTCTTTCGAGTTTTTCCAAACATTCGTATTAACTGTCCGAGGTGCAGAACATTTTAAGAATTTAAATAAAAATAGAAGCAAATATTAATACTGCTGAAAATTTACTTTATTAGAAAGATAATTTTTGTGTCGTTAGTATTTGAATATATATATTAGACTCCAGCGCAAATTCCATTTAAACGGCCCAACAAGACATCCGATCGCCGCGCAAATACTTTCCATCCCCTACTTTCACCGTTCGGGTCAATTGTGAGTAAGCATAAACCAGTTTCTGCAAGCGTACGTAAACTACCGATCAATAGCAAGACGCGTAGAGTATTTACTTTGCCTTCCGCAACTACTGCGAGTAAAAGGTATTTGACAGTAGAGTACTCTACTGGTAGTACTTGAGTATTTTCGAAGAAAACATACATTTGTGGCAAGAATGATAGAAGAATTTTCTGGATCGCGCATTTGTGGTATCTGAAAAAAACTAAGGACAGGAATGTAGTGGAGCGATGAAGAGAGCGACGAGCAAAACGTACTTTCAACTAAAATGCTGATATACATACCTAAGTACATATGTATGTATGTGCATAGATACGTATGTGCATACATACATACATATGTGCATAGATACGTATGTGCATAGATACGTATGTGCATAGATACGTATGTGCATAGATACGTATGTGCATAGATACGTATGTGCATAGATACGTATGTGCATAGATACGTATGTGCATAGATACGTATGTGCATAGATACGTATGTGCATAGATACGTATGTGCATAGATACGTATGTGCATAGATACGTATGTGCATAGATACGTATGTGCATAGATACGTATGTGCATAGATACGTATGTGCATAGATACGTATGTGCATAGATACGTATGTGCATAGATACGTATGTGCATAGATACGTATGTGCATAGATACGTATGTGCATAGATACGTATGTGCATAGATACGTATGTGCATAGATACGTATGTGCATAGATACGTATGTGCATAGATACGTATGTGCATAGATACGTATGTGCATAGATACGTATGTGCATAGATACGTATGTGCATAGATACGTATGTGCATAGATACGTATGTGCATAGATACGTATGTGCATAGATACGTATGTGCATAGATACGTATGTGCATAGATACGTATGTGCATAGATACGTATGTGCATAGATACGTATGTGCATAGATACGTATGTGCATAGATACGTATGTGCATAGATACGTATGTGCATAGATACGTATGTGCATAGATACGTATGTGCATAGATACGTATGTGCATAGATACGTATGTGCATAGATACGTATGTGCATAGATACATATATATGTAAGTGTCCGCATATATTTTTTCTCGTCACTTGTTCTGTCGCTTCACTGCAGCAAAACCAAGTTGTGAGGAAAACCCTGACGATATGCGTAGAATTGAAACCATGGGTTCATATTAAATATATTTATGTATGCATGGACATATGTACATATGTTAAAATGTAGTTTCGATTTAAAAAAAATCGGATGAAGTTTTTCTTTCGCCATTCATACACCTCTAATTTCAGTATTTATTAAAAAAACTCAATGAAATTCAAAAACTCTATCTTGCATTTGGGTTTACTCAATACCAATTTGAGCTGTCGCAGTGTTATCAAAAAAAAAAAAGTTATCAATAGGTAGGTTCAGAAGGCGCAGCAGTTGAGCGCAACCGTTGCTAAACAAAAATCAGTGATCGTTATGCGTCTTTTGAACGACTTCATACATTAGCTGTCAAATTCAACTCTCAAAGGTACACACCAACATGTTGTCTCAAATGATCAGAAAAATATTACGATCATCTAACACGCAACTATTCAGTTGATCAGAAGTACGCAACAACGCGTTCAGAAGGTGCAATCGCACCAGTTACTGAGCTGTTTCGCCTTCTGAACGTGCCAAATGAAAATTCGTTTCTCTTGAAATCAAGTTATATGGCTGCGTATGTATGTACATATGTATGTACATATTCCGAAATTTTTTTTATTTGTAAAGGCTCTCAAGAAAAACTAAAAATTCATATAAAATTACGCACAATAAATGGAAAATAAATTTTCTTCTATAAAAAATTTCTTAAATCAGTATGCAGCTCTTAAGAAAAAAATGCTCGTACATCTCGTCGCTACCATGTCCAACTATCGAATGTGAAAATCGGCACTTTTCAAAATTTTGATTTGCCACTAATAATTTTATTTCGTATAGCAGCATTGCTTAAGTTATTGTTGTTGACAACTTATTTGTTGGTTAATGACTGCAAATAGTTTTATAGAAAATTAGAGACGAGAAATAATACTTTCATAAAAATTTAAGTACATACATAGATTTAAAAAGCTGCTTGAATACAAAAGTTTTATGAAAATGTCACATTAAACAACTGTCTAAATCTACGTTATTTTTTATAAATAAGGCCGTAAACATTTCCTTACATCGTCGATTTCCATATTCTATTTTTACTCTTTCAATTTCACTGACCAGCGCTGCAAACGATATCAACTAGTAGGCTAACAACCAGAATTGAAATTTAATACGCAAGTACTTACCGTACTACAAGTATACAGAGAGTAGATTTGCTACTCCCTTTTGGCAGCAGCAAATATCTCTCGTACGCGATGAGGGAAAGTAGAGTACGTATTTTGGTGGAGTAATAGCAAGTACGTCAAGTATTTACTCTCTCAACGCCAAGTAGTGTATGTATGCGGAAAAAAAGTAACAATGTGTTGGGAGTAGAGTACAATGCAAGGAGTACTTATTGAATGAAATGCGGCAAATACAATTGCGCTGGACTCTAATATATATATATATGCATGTGCATTAGAGAGGCCCAAAAATGCATGTGAACAAGTAAAATCTGAATTTTAATGCCGCCACCCCCTAGGGTTGTTCTTTACCGAAAAAATATACCCCATTTTTTTTATTTTGATATAAAAAGAATTTGGGAGTTTCCAAAGCGCTCAAAGTTTTCCATGTATTTTATATCGGGAAAACAACTTTTCGTCAAGGTTCGTTATATCGAAGTTTCACTGTATAATTTATTCGAGTCATAACTTGTGTATATTAATAACTTTTTCTTAGTATATCTGCAATAAATTGAAAGCTTTTGTTGTTGTGCTGTTATAGTTTCTTTATAAATACATATTTGGACTTTCCTTCTTGGCAATAATGAGTTTTTAAATCACTCATCACTATATATGTATGTATGTAACTATGTTGCGAATCATTCTTACCTACGCAGCTTACTGGAAAAAGTCCAAACAGAGAATCCCAGTTGGAAGGATGCTGGCACCGCTTTCATAGCATCGGTAACGCGTTTATTGGAGCGTTTATTGGATTATCGTAGCGTAATGCAGGGTGAGGAGAATCGTGACAAGCGAATGTCTTGCACAGTGAACTTATTGAATTTCTATAAAAATGAAATCAATCGCAAAGAGATGTACTTGAGGTGAGTAAAAATACGATATTTTAAAAAGAATGTATACTTATAATTTACAAAAACCTATTTTCACTCGGACCCAAATATGTTCATTTTTTTTATTAAACGACCCTGTTCAAGGGTGTTACATGAAGGGGCGAGTTAAAAGATATGAGGTGTCAGTTGTGCCCTGTGGTAGCATTCGAGCAGTTCTTTTTGCTGCCTGAAGTGCGGCTCCTACAGGTCTATAACTTTGTTCACTGCATCCTACTGTTCTAGGTGACTAAACAGGCGCAGCATAATTTGGAACCTATCGGCCATGTATGTGGTCTGTTGATTAGAGAGGTAGCCGCTTGGAAGTAACGCATATCATCAATAGTTCCATTTCCCTGTGCCAATACTAAGCGGTTGTCAGAGTAATAGAACAGAGAGCTGAGATAGCTTCGATATCTAGAAGTTAAATAGTATTGGTGGGAAAGATTGATGGCCTAACAACAACAACGGCATATTTAATTATCATATAACATATAATAGGTGTGCCATCGACGTGAAGGCCTGGTTGAAACCTGACTTCCTTCGTCCAGGTGGTGAAGAGGGTCGCCGTTGATTTCGTTGGGGGGAGAGTATTAGACTCCTTGCGGTGAAGAAGCGAGAAAGTTCAGAAATATAGCCGTTTACTTTCCAACAGAAGTCATCAATTCCATTCCCAGATGGCAATATCGAACTGTTGTCAGTGCATGAGATCAGGGAAATTCCTTCCGGTGGCTGAGGGCGCTTCGAGATATAGAAGTAAAACAGTAGGGGGGAGTTTACATCCCCCTGCGGAACCCCTTGTTTAATTCTTCTAGGTTTAGAGGTTTGATCTCGGAAGATTACTGACGACTTGGGACCATTCATATAATTCGCCGACCTCCGTTTGAGTCCCTGTGGGAGAGCATCCATGTCTTCTAGTAGCGTGAAATTATAACGGTGTCAAATGCCTTTGATATGCACAACGCTACAGGGGCGGTTGCGGTTTAGGCCACGAGTTATATAAGTGTTTATGGCGTTAAGTGCTGTTGTTGTTTTAAGCACTTTACGGAAACCATGCTGATACTTCCCTGAAGTCAGGTGGTGTATAAAGTACGAGAGTAGCATGTTGTTGGCTGGTTTCCCCGGTTGCAGCAGTGGGACCACTTATAAGAGAGTGATCATTGACAATTTAAGAACCTTGGTGAGATATGCTACTCCCGCTGCAACCAAATGTTTCAGCCTCAGCATGAAAACTTCGTCTACACACCGGAATGACTCGGTTTTTTCCCAGGGCTGTTTTTTGGCGACCTAACCCCGTTTATATCGGCGAACCCCATTAATCGTCGCTGTGTGGTTATGGTGGTTGGTAGCATCGAAGGCGAAATTTACGGCCACTGCAAACTGGCTCTTGGTCTAAAAAAAATATTTACGATGACAACGTTATATCTAAAAGTACTAAGTATAGACCAATTGGGAGACATCATTCTGCCCATCTTGCTGCGGGTCTATACAAGGATGTAAGCCTAGAACAAACTACAATCGAAACGCCTCCCACCACTCCTCCTTAGGTTTGAACATTTTGTTGTTGATTTTCAGTTATTATGCTATTTTCATACACAAATCTGGATTCGTAACACCTACATATGTATAATTTGGTACAGATACATCTATAAACTACACGACTTACATCTACAAGCGGAAAATTACACTGAGGCTGGTTACACGCTAAAACTCTATGCTAATATGCTGAATTGGGATCGTGAGTCACTCTGTTTCGCACCGAACGATAATACTGGCCAGCCAGAGTGGCAGCGCAAAGAGCGACTCTATCATGAGGTAATGATATCAATGGGGATTCTTCTATTTCTTGTCTACTTTATGTTGTTTAACTTTATTACTTCACTTTTGTAGATCTTGAAATATTTCGACAAGGGAAAATGTTGGGAAAAGGGCATTCCATTATGCAAAGAATTAGCTTTGCTCTATGAAACACGCCGTTTCGATTACAATAAACTCAGTGAGATACTTATACTCGAGGCAAAATTTTTCCAAAATATTCTAACGCAACTGCGCCCAGAACCGGAGTATTTTCGTGTTGGTTTCTATGGACTGGGTTTTCCGCTTTTTGTGAGGGTGAGTTTAAGCATTCTGCAAAATCTTTGCTTTTTAATTTATATCAAACAAAATATTATATCAATTTTGTAGAACAAACAATTCGTCTATCGCGGCTTAGAGTATGAACGTATAGGTGCTTTCACCCAACGCTTACAAACCGAATTTCCCGCGGCACAGATTTTAACCAACAATAGTCCACCAGATAACTCGATTCTCACTGCAGCAGAACAATACATACAAATTAGTAATGTACGACCAGTTGGCGATGCGCAGGCCTTAAAGACGGCAATGGTGCCAGTACCGGAGAAAATTGCTAGATTCTATGAGGTGAGTAAAAACGGGAATGAATGTGAAGAACTTTTAGTTCACGTAAAGTCTGAATTTTATTGCTCTCACCCCTAGGATCGTCTATATCGAAAAAAAAATCCTGTTTTATGTTTAAATCAAAGAATATTTGGACGTCGCTTAAAGCGCTCAAAGCTACCCATGTAGTTTATATGGGGAAAAACCATTTTTCATAGAAATGGTATATAAATAATCCTTGAAAATCTATATCAGTCAGCAATATCTCTTCAGGCGACTTCAAGAAATAATACCCAATTATATAATACCCAACTATATTTTATGGGTTCCTCAACAACGCTAATAACAAATGTTTAAATAAACAATTTGGTATTATTTTTCAGCTTCTCGTGACCTCTAAATAATTTTTTATTAAAAAAAAAACGGGTATATTTTTTCGACGTTACTTTTCTCACATACATATATTTTTGGACCACCCTTTGGTACATATATATAAACTTGGATTTATTAACAACTCCTTTTTGACTTTGTTCAGTAGTTTTATTCCTTCGAAAAAAATTAAAAATCGATAACCTTACACGTAGATTTTGTATACGCCAAATTTTTAACCTTTTCTTAAAGGTCAACGATGTGACACGCTTCATCTACGATCGCCCCATCTATAAAGGTCCTATCGATAAGGACAACGAATTTAAATCGCTGTGGATCGAACGCACCAAATTGGAAATATCCAATCAACTGCCCGGTATTTTGCGCTGGTTCGAAGTAAAACATAAGTCAGTACATGAAATTACCCCAGTAGAGTTTGCATGCGAGACAATGAATAATGTCGGCAAAGAATTATGGGATCTCATTGTACAGTATCGTACTGAACCAAAACGTAATATAAATCCCTTTTCGATGCGCTTACAAGGCATAATCGATGCAAATGTCATGGGTGGTATAAGCAAATATCAAGAGGCATTTTTCTCGGAACAATTCCTGAAGTCGCCACAAGGTCATGGCCAACAAACAAATGTGCAAAAATTAAAGGCTCTCATATTAGAGCAAATACAAGTACTCGAGCAGGCTTTGGAACTACACGGCACATTGGCGCCACCCAACGTACAGCCACTACATAATCGTTTACTTGAACGCTTCTCGCAGTTAAAACAAAGTTTATCAGGTCTGGGCCGGCTGAAGCGCCAACATTCGGAGAGCATAGTTAATACACCCTTGCCACCACTGCCAACCGAAAAACGCACAATGAGCCTGGGGAATCCCAGCTTAAATACTGGCTCGTCAAATTATTATGGAGTCTATGAGCAAGATGATATATACACGCGCCCGGGCGACACGTTACGGCCAGTCGAATCTGGCCATTCATTGCTGATACATAACTCATACCAAACGCTAAGCAATGAGAGCATGAGTATACCGGAAATCACGCGTGATAAAGTACCACCTGTACCGAATCGTCCGCGTTCGCAGAATTTCATGCCTGCCATGGATGGCCCAGAAGTGCCACCTAAGCGTAATGCCAATCAAGTGGGTTCACCCAGCGCACCTCCACTACCGCCGCGTGGCATAACGCCCGACAAGCGCGCTTCAAATCCTAGTGCCATAAATGATTTCAGCAGTAGTCAGTATCCCTCAGCTGGCTCAATGCCACGGCGCCCTTTGTCTGCCCATCACCAGCAACAACAACAGCATGAGCATGGTCAGAAGTATTCAGTGGTAGATATCAGCTTCGACGACCCTGAAGCGGATCAAGCTCCCCACTCTCTAACAAGTGTAGGTGAGACGGCGCAGCTTAATGTGATCGGGTATGGACCAAATGATTTTCGAGATTCAGGCATCTCAACAACAAGTTCGCACGATCTTAATAATTTGAATAATCTCAGTGAAGAGTCTTCATCCAATTCAGTGAGCACGGTGCATCATCGCGACCACTGCCGCTTGATATCGAATGGAAGCATGGACAGCGCCTACACCATCAACACTACGCTCAATATAAATCATCGTGAAAACTCGGCCAGCTCATTCGATATGGACGATCTGCCAATGCCGCCGCCACCTCCCATACCTCCCAAGTCATTGAATATTATCGCAACCGCGGACTCTTCTTCACTTGAAGAGCAGCATTCAACAAATCCAAACACAATTCAAAATCAAAATCATACTGCATCAAATCATTCTCATGCACTGAATCACCCAAATCATTTATCACAACATTCAACTCACAATCACAGTCAAAGTCACCAACAGAACGGTATTGGTGCTAGTGATAACTATATAACACCTAAGAAGAGTGACGCCGCCAGTGGCGACAACGCTAGCGCCAGTGAATCTCACAATGATGGCGGCACTTTTTGAGTTGCAATATGTCGCTGCCATCAACCGCTGCTTCGCCCAGCAGCACCTCTACCGCTCCCATCGGCCACAACGACCGAAACTGAAACTGAGACTTCATCAACCACACAAACGCCCTCACCAACACCACCACCACCTCCACCTTTACTTCGCTCGCATGCGTCACATGTTGCGTTCTCACCCGGCCAAACATTACGCTCACCTACCACAAATTCGACAACCACTTCATTATCATTACCATCAAACGCATCTCAACTGCATTCATCGTATACACTAAATCGTCGCTACAATCATTACCATAGCACACATTATTGCCATGAATGCCTCTCCTCACCATCACCACCGCCCAGTGCGGTGGCTACCATAACCGAACAGGCAGTGGTCCATGCGTCCTCATCCTTATCCTCGTTGGTTACACCGCCACCGCTACCACCATTGCTGCCGCTTTCAATGCCATTGGCGCAAAACGAAACAGCGCCACCGGCAGCCTTGTTGGAGCATTGTTCCTGTGGTTTAACATTTACTGTAGAACCTGAGACTATTTACGAACTGTCACCACAACCCACGGTACACTTTGAGCTACCCTCACAATCTACCACGCAATATGGCAGTCAAAGTGTATATAGTAGTAGTAGTAATATGTATGAATATGAACAAACGACAACGAACGATTCGAGTGAGGATTACGCTGAGGCTGGTAAAATGCAAACCCAAACAACACATATTCATGCGCACTGCTGTCAGCATGCGCGTTCCAATGCGCATGCGCAAACTGAATTCTCATTTGATCAGCGATGATTTAGAGACGTGAAAATGCAGACAGCGGTGATGACGGTGACACGCGCGTAGTAGGATATAGGGAAAAGAAAGTATAGATATCAAACAAATTTAATGGATCATAAAACATTATAACGTAAGATAAGTACTCAGTAACAAGTGGTAAACACTTATAAATAGGTGACAAGTTGGAAAGATGAAGTTTACATTTTCATATAATTTAGTTTTGAAATATTGTGTTTATGTTGTTCTTATAGTTTTGAACTTCGTAAATATTCATTAGCTACTACCTTCTCAAATACACAATCTACTTAGGTCAAGTAAACAAATTTTTTACATTAAAAAGAGAATTTATTTCGAAAACAACGAAAAATTGCATACATATGTATGTATGTGGTCCTACAATCGATTGTCTTATACAGTATCGTTTACAGAAAATCATTGTAGTACTTCATTCACTAGTCGATCGGAAAAAATTATGTCCGAGTGTGCTTACCTTAGCATCGCTTTCTCAAGTAGGTTCTAAATGTATCTGCTCTTCAAGTATATTTTTTCAGAACAAAATCTGAAGATAAATTTTAAAACCTACTTGAGAATACGGCCCTCACAGATCACTCATATTCCAGCAAAAGCTAAAGCAATATTTTGTGGTTGTAATATGTTTATGGCAACCATTTTTCATATACCTAAAATTTAGAAAGCAAAGATCAAAGTAACAAAGTTGAAGGAATAAGTAGTTAAATACATTAGCCTATTCCCGTACTTCACGATTTGTAGGATTTGCAGGATTTGCAGGTTTTACAGGAACAGCTGTTTTCGCCTTTAATAAACCTTATGTGAACGTGGCGTGGCGTACGGGAACGACTTTGGATTAAATCCTGCAAAAGCTGCCAATCGTAGACATTCTGGAACGCACTAAATATGTATTTAAAAATCATCGCGTCGACTCTAACAAAGGTAAATCACGTTTTTACGTACCTTTTCTACCTCCCAATTTGCCCAATGACTTCTGACTCGTTCTGGTGAACAATTTACCACAAAAGCGATTAGCGCCGTGGGCTCGTAAAAACGATGTACCATCGAAAATTCAAACCGGTGCTAAACATTTATGCAATTGTAAAAAATAACTTAATTTAATTCGTTTAGTTTTTGTTTGTAGTTTAAAATGTTTTTAGTGTATTAATTTTACTAGTGGTTCGTTAAAAAAAAACAAAAAAATCGTCGCCGAACTTCCTAATTTTTGTGCAGTTATTTCTTTCTATTTTAGTAATATACATTCTAAATATGAAACAAATCGGACCATAAATACGGATTTCCTAGTATCTCGACTCCTGCGCCACCTATCGAGCGAAAGTTTTGTGAAATTATTCCTTTTCATATAAGTAATATACATTCTAAATATGAACCATATCGGGGTTTTCAAATATCTCGACTACTGTGCCCTGTATTGGGTTATTTCATCTTTCATATTGCATTGTCATCGGGTTCATAAAGGTGAAAAAGCTTGTAAAAATAAAGGAAGGGGACTGAGAACGCGTTTCAGTTTTGGTTTAGCTCTGCTGTTAATATCAAGAACGTTCCCACAATAGAACCAAACGGGAACAAAAGTATTGCGAGCTGTTTAAACGAGAACAAAAAGTCCGGGAAGGTTTCCGTAAAGAACAAAATGCGAACAAAACTCTCAGGAACTTTCTCAAGAAGAACAGAATGAAATCGGAGCTTTCGGTAACGTTTGCAATGAGAACAAATGATCGAGAACGTTTTCAAGGCGGATCAAATAAGAACAAAAGTCTGGGGAAGGTTCTGCTAGAAAACCGAACGCGAACAAAAGTTTTGAGAACTTAACGTTAAGAATGAAAGGGGCGTATTGGGATGAGAAATTGTTTCAGTAAGAGCCACGATTGTTAATACTAAGCGAGAAGAAATCCAGATCGTTTAGACGGTGTTCACATGAGGCGATTTTCCAAGCCATTTCAGAAGCGATTAGTTGAATCAAAAGTTAGCTGCCACCCAACTTCATTGGAAGCGATTAGTTGGAAGGCTGTTCACACCAGGCGATTGTTGCTTTCAACTATAAGTTGCCTGTAAAATCGCCTCATTTGAATACCGTATTATCACTCGGGTGAACTGTCCATTTATGGAACAGTTTTTTATTTTCTGTACAAGAAAAGTTCGTGTCTTAAGTCTTTCGTTTACTTAATTTCCTGAGACTTTATTTCCCAAATTTTTATTCGAAATAAAGTTCCTTAGACTTTTGTTCCTGTTTAGTTCTTTTCCAAAATGTTCCGCAGACTTTTGTTCCCGTTTCGTTTTTTTTTTAGAAATGGTACCGAAAGTATTGTTCGCAATTCGTTCTCTTTAGGAGCGCCCTCGAAAGTTTCGTTCTCATTTTAGTTTTGGTTTTGATGCGTTCTTGAGAACAAAACCACGGGAACGATATTTAGTTTTGATCATACCTTTTTTTCTCCATTCCTGATAAATATGCATATTGACAAGTTTTAACTATAGGGCTATTCAGGATTTTGTTACATTTCTAAATTCACAACAATAAAATGCAAATGGTTGCCATGATAGCAAGCGTAAAAAGTGCAAATGCAAATCCAAGATTATTTGCCCAATTTTTTGTGGAATTTTATGTACTTCATTCTACAACAATAATCGTATAAATCATATATAGATTTTTGAAACTTGTTCGAGTTCGCTATACCAACTTCGAATCGCACTCGATTCGCTGAGAAAAATCGAAGTCTGAATGACGTTGGGTTTTGTATAAAAAAAACAACTTCGATTTGACTTCGATTCGAACCCGCCCTCGTTCTCTGCCAAATTAAATTAGTGTCTGTAAAAAAGCTACCTACAAAAACAAGCAGATACACATACATTCTTAAATAAATATAACACTACTTATTTCTTAAATTTTGTTACTTCGAAAAATAAATTAGGTTTGGCGCCCGTAGGAGCTTGAACTTTATAGGGTAGGATGTAAATCTAATAAGGCTATCATTTAACAACTATGTAGTTAAGCTGCTACTGAAGTTGCAACAAGCATTTTTATTTGGATAAATTTTGTCTGGGAGCTGTACATACATACATATATCATTTATTAAAACGTTTGAGTTGTATGCTCTCTATTATTTAGTCTTTTTTCGCTTGTAAGTTATCTTCGTCAGCATTTTTATATGTTAACTAAAGCCGGCGGAAGGTGCAGAGTTTTGTACAATAGCGGTCGCCCCTCGGTAGGCAATGTCAAACCTCCGAGTGTACATATTTCTGCCATGAAAAGCAGTCTCATAAAATCCATTTGCGTTCCGTAGGCGGCAACTGCAGGTACGTCCCCTTTATGTGACAACATCAAGGTGCACACCACAAATCGGGGAAGAATACTCGGCCAAGCACTTAGCAAAAGTGTAAGCGTCAATTATGTAACTATTTACCAAATTTCTCCATCTACATACATATAAACCCACGCAGAGAAATTTTAATAAGTGAATAAGCAATGCTTTTCACTTGAAAATTCAAACTCTCAATACATTCTCTTCACCACAAGTACATGGACAAAATTATGTACTTTTCAAGTACTACTATATTTGCAATGCATTTGAGGACAAATATATGTATCTATGGATTTATTTAATATGGACGACACAAAAGACTTACATTGCTCAAAAGTCAATAGATATGTATGTATATTGGAGTGTGCTCTTTCAACAAAGAACCCAGGTGTATACAAGCTTATACAAGTTAACGGTTGTATTTTTTTGTTAAATAATTTTATATTTCCTTATTTTATTTTTAAAAGCATAAGGAAGTAAATGTGATTTGAGTGAGTTGTATTTACTATTCAAATATAAAGTGCAATCCTTCTTTTATAGAAAAACAAGAACAATAAATTTTCTTCACTAAAATTTAATAACAAACGAAAATAGAAAATTACAGATTAAAATACATAAAACCATAAGTTACTAATTGCGCAAACGGCAAAAAAAAGTCAAATTTAAATGTACAAACAAAGTACACACACACTCAACAACGAGAAAAATTAAAAAAAGGCAATGCAAGCATTAAAATTGTGAAGAAATCAGTCCCCTGGCAAAAACAGATTGTTAAATGAAAGTTTAACTTATGAAAATGCATTTTATAAAATTAGCAACATAGATGCATACAGCAATCGAACATAACTATTCGCATTATGCGTCGAAAGAGAAACAAACAAACAAAATTTCAACTGCCGTAGAATTGTGAGAC